TAGCCTTGAACTCAGAGAGCTGCCTGTCTCTTCCTCCTTAGTGTTGGGATCAAAGCTGTGCACCATCACCACCCAGTCTCTGACTTCGACTCTTGACAAAGAGTTTTTGTGTTTCTGTATGTTTATTGTTTTTATTCAATCTATGGACATAGTACATAGAATGGCTGGCACTAACTACAGTGTTATTTGTGCCTAGAAATTGCTGTCTTGTAAGAAGCCATTAGTGTGAGGGACCGAGTTGTCTCTATCATTGTTCTATCATCCTGATTCCCACACACAGATTCGGCCCCGTTTAAGCCACAGTGGGCCTTTAACAGTTCAGTAAATATTTTAGCTAGGCTTCTAATTTTTCTTATCTTCATGCATGGATATTTCATATTCCCCCTCAGAAGTAAACCAGCATTTATATTCTGTGTCTTCTTGGAGGCTCCTGTCCTCAGGAATAAGTTGCTTTGCAACCTCGATTCTGAAGGTTGACAAAAGCTATGAAAACTGTCCAGCAAGTTTTAGAAACTGCTGTCACTGTAATACTGCTCCTCCCAGCTGTCCACATCCCAGCTGGAAGCAAGAAGTATCAAGACTCTCCTTTTTACCGTTCTTTTCAACTCTCTTGGCCAGTCCATTCCTTGTCATCCTGGGTCATTCTTTCCGACAACACATTTCCAGTATAACTCACTAAGTTAACTTCAGTCTCAATGTCCCCCTCTCTTAACTAGTTGTTGGCAAGTATCTGGCAATAAGAAGGGACAGATATTGCTGATATTTCATTGAAAATAATCAATGGTTCAGTTGATCATTCACAATCAGTTAGATTGTGTAGAAAGTGTAGAACTCCTGTTCTACACTTTCCCCCATTTTCACTACTGAATTTGACTAGGTTTTTTTGTTTGTTTTTTTTTCCCCAGAGAAAGGGTTTCTCTCTGTAGCCTTGGCTGTCCTGGGTTCACTTCGTAGACCAGGTTGACTTCCAACTCACAGAGACCCACCTGCCTCTGCCTCCTGGAGTGCTGGGACTACAGGTATTCACCATCTCGCTCAGCCACTTGACTGGGTTAAAAAAAAAAAAAAAAGTCTTTTTTCCAGTGATGAGTCTGAAATGGGGTAGGGGTGGGAGATAACAGTGAGATGTGACCTTGGGAACTGAGCTTCAGCTCTGTGGTAGAAAATGAGACCAAGTATCTACTCCATCCATTAATGAGAAATAAGACTCAAATTTACTAAAATATCTCTTGAAAAATGAAAATTACAACAGGATAAAACAGTGTGGTAGGAGCTGTGGTGACAGCTGTCTCAGGAGGCGGCCAGCCCAGGTTCCAGTTCCAGGCCTGTCAGTGATTAGCTCTATGACCTCAGCAGTTCCTCTACCTGTTTTTGTTTCTGTTAAGTGGGCATGAAGGCATTTACCTCAGAAGTGCCTGCAACTCCCATATAAGTGCTAATAATTAGGGCTCCTTTCTATAATGTCTCAAGTTCAGGGCAGAGTTCATTCTATTTCTCAGAACCCATCCCAACCAAGAGAGCTATGGTTTATGGAGTATTTCCAGCGTGTCCAAAGTCCTACACTAAGCATTTTGTATATAAACTGTAAGAGGGAGGGTTTAATTATTCCTAGTTAATAGTGAGGCTAAGAGATCAGAGAAGTGTGTGCTTAGCTGCCATAGGCTCACTGTTGATGAAGGAGGCCTGACTACAATGTGTGTAATCTTAACCACTTCACTCGCTGCCTCTCCGCCCTTCTGAGTGACAGAGGCCGCCTGCTGTACTTACCTCACAGGGCTGTCCACAAATCTAGTCACACAGAAGAGCCAGTACCTTAGCTATTGCTGGAGCACTCTCCCTCTGTAGGGAATCCCAGACGTGGCATGCGTCTCCATCCATCCCTTTGCCCAGGCCCCCCTTCCCTGCTTTTTAAAGAGAATTTAGAAGCTGCGCATGGTGGCAGGCTCAGGAGGCAAAGGCAGGAGGATATCTGAGTCCTCTCTGAATTTGAGGCTAGCCTGGTCTACAGAGCAAGTTCCAGGACAGTCAAGGCTACACAGAGAAACCTTGTCAGAAAGACAGACGGACAGACAGACTGAATTATGATTCCAGCGCCTAGATTTTATTCTAACAAAGGAGGAGGAAGATTAAAATGTGAGACTTTGCTCTGAACTGTGCAAGCTAACTGCTGTGTGGACAATGTGGCTAGGCAAGAGATGGCACAGGAAAACCTGATGAAGGCTACTACGGTGGCAGCTAAACCAGAGTGGTGGAAACCTAGGAGTGGATTAGAAACATACTTAGAAACCAGAAATGACATGAAATGGAGGTGTATCTTAATGGGGACCTCAAAGGAAAGGGAGATGCCAAGGATTCAAGGATAGTTTCCTGGTAGCTTTACCCCAACAGAGATTTTTAATGGAAAACACACCCACATACAGAGCCTGTGGTCCATCCTCATTGCTTTCAGAGCCCAGAGGATGGATGGGAAAAGGGGGGGGGGGGCGGAGGGAGACAGAATTTTTATCCAGGGGCTGCTATCCTGGACACTGCTAGTACTGGCTTGAGCCAGGAGGTGCTGAAAAAGGGGCAGTTTCCGTCTGGACCGCCCACCCACGCATGGCTGGACGTCTGGCATCTCTGCTAACACCTCGAGGTGTTGGCTCCCTGCCGGCGTGTAGGGTGCGGCGCCGGCTCATCCCCTCCTGACTCGCCCAGTGTGCTGATCCACAGGGCGGAGGCCCGGTGTGGTCCTGGGCCCAACTGAGGGCCCAAGGTCTGGGGGTCATCAGCCGCAATGCACCTGTCTCGCTGGGCGGCAGCCGCCCCTCGCTTCCCCTTCCCGCACCTTCGGGAGAGGAGCGCGCGTAAGCGTGGCCGGGGTGTTCGAGGTGTGGAGAGGCGGCCAGCGGGCGCGTGCGCGTGGGCGCTGCTCTTGAGTCGGAGCGCATCAAGTGTGCGTGGGCCGGAGCCGGAGCGTGTGCCCGCAGCCGCTGTGCGCCGGGCGGGGGTGCCGCAAGTGCTTCGGGGCGCGCGCAGCCCCGCGCGGGTTCCCGCGGGCTCCGGAGCGAGGAGGGATGCGTGCGGGAACTTTTCGCCCGCCCCGCAAGTCCGGGTCCCGGCGTTCCGAGGGGCTGGCCCCGCCGCCGGCTCCGAGTGCCCGCCCCGCCCCCACTTCCGCCTCCCGCCTCTTCCTCGTTCCCGGCTCCCAGGGCCGCTGGTCCCCAGGGAGCCCCGCAGGCACAGCCCCACCCGCCTGGCGCTGCTCGCTCCCACGCCCCCGCCGCCGCCTGTAGGGAGTGCACCCAGAGAGCCAGCGGGGTGCGGGCGCCGCAGGTAGGGGGGGACGCGGGTTGGGCTCAGGTGCGGCGGACTGGGGCCCGGCAGCACGAAAACGTGGAGCGCTCCGGTTCGCCCGCTCCGGCTTCGCCCACGCGCTGGTCCCCTTTTAGGGAATTCTTTGCCTCTTGCCTCCTCGGGCGCGGGTGGGGCCGGGGCAGAGGGCGTTCTCCATTTCCCTGCCTCCTGCCTGGGTGTCAGCCTCCTGTCTCCAAATCTCCACTCTTCCCAGCACCTATGGTCGGGTAAACAACTACCTAGGTCCAGGTCTGGGCTCCACGGCCCCTGGTGGGCAAACCCTTCAGCCTGGTAAGACTGCAGCGTCAGTGGGAGGGGAGGGGAGAGGAGAGAGGCAACCGGGTGGCCAGGGGTCAGCGGCAGCTTCCTCGTGAGCTCGCCTCCCCTCCCCGCAGATCTGCAGACTGCCCCTGGGGCTCTGGGTATTTTTAGCGTTGTGACCTGGGCGGCAGCTCTAAGAGTCTTTCTCTGGAGTCAGTGTCAGCGTCTCCTGTCTCCAGGCCAGCCCCAGGCCGGCAGCCACATCAGCTCCCAGCACTTCCTTGGCCATTCCTAGCTCATTAGTTTCAGGTCCCTCTTGATCTACCCCAGTGCCTAAGGACCTGGGCAAGAGCTGGGCTACATCGTGTCCAGAATGAGGTTTATGGAGGGTGACAGTCTGGTCCTCACCCTAGATAATCTCTGCTCCTTGTGATGGGTTCAAAGTAGTATACCAGGAATGGGAATTAATGCACAGGGCTGGCAGCAGAGCTGTGATCAGCAAAACTCAGCGTTGGGCATCCAGAGGCCTGGACTGAACTGTAGCCAGACCCCACCCTTCTAGTTGGTACTTACCAGCAGGAGAGATGAGCCAGAGAGATGTGTGAGAGGAAGGGGACAACTCTTACAGTTTGGAGGAAAGGTGGTCAATTTCCTAAACAGCTCTCCTTTACAGAGTATTATCACGGAGTGTTTCAACTAGGTCGGATAATACCTTCGGGTGGGAACCCTGGGGCCAGAAAGATGATTTTCTTAGAGGCAGAGGCAAATTAGGAAGGTAGGTCTCTGCCTTCAGAGAAAGGGTTTAGAGGTGATGGAGAGCATCCTGAATGGTGTGTGTGTGTGTGTGTGTGTGTGTGTGTGTGTGTGTGTGTGTGTG